CGAAAAAAGCAACGAGGTGTTTTTTTTTTTTTTTTCCTACAATTATCCAGGCGTCTCCTTTAACATTCATTTAAGCGAGTGTACGATCATTAATCTTAAACATGTACAATAAATCACTCTCGTGGCGGCGAAATTCCACGTCAATACTTAAGCAAAAATTTCTCCTCGTCGATAAATTGCGGAGGGGAGGAAAAAATTCTGACGAAGGAAAAGTTGGAGTCAGCAGCGAGGTCGGGATTTTGAGCTCGAGTGAAAGGGTGTATATGAGTGTGTGTGTGTGTGAGAAAGAGAGAGATAGACAGAATCTCCGATGTTGGGGAGATTTACATACCGCACGTGAGAGACCGGAACAATCAACTTCTAACGCGAGAACCCTCCGTTCTCCTTCGCTACACTTCCGTCACGAAGGAGAGAAGCTCTGTGATACTACTACTACCATATATATATATATATATATATATATATTACATATATATATATATATATCTCCAGTCCCGTACCGGAAATGAATAACCGAGCACCGAGAACTCTTACTTACGGCGACGCAGTGACGCGACGTGAAGTTTGTTCGAGTTAAAAAAAGCATCGAGGTTTTTTTTTCTGTTTCCTTGCAATTTTCGCGACAGAGTTTCACGACGAGTGTAAATTTACGTGCTTAAAATAGCCCCATCGATCGCGTGGTCGCTGACATTGAGACGCCTCTTGAATTACTTTTCTAACTCGTTTCGATTACAGAGTTCGAAGGTCCTCGTCGTCGTTTTGCGCGTTAAATAACGTCCCGCGTTGTTTTTTTTTTTTTTTATTTTTATTTTTGGTTTCCATTGAAATGCAGAACGCGTTAAACGCCGAGTTAAGACCCGCCTCGTTTGCGCATAAGCGCGACGTGCTCGTTGCTGAAAACGCAACACGCTCGAGCGATCGATGTGTTACAATCGAGGCGAGATCTGCGCGTTCGAATGGGAGCGCGAGTTCTGGAGATGCAGTTAATTACGTCGAAGTGGCTTAATCAAGACTGCTTGACCTAAGCTCCTCGTATAGTACCAGATGCTAGTTATGCCAAGGGAGTTGAGCGTGCAAACGTGTCAATGAATGCGAGTGTATTATAGATTACGCTATTCAATCGATTGTTGACAGTTAATCGAGTTAGCGTTTACCACTCCTGTCGCGACTAATGGGTCGCGTAATCATGTCGCGATCGTCGCACAAGTCGCGTAAACGTCGCGAATATCATGTATGTACATGTAGGTATAAAATTTTTGCCGCATATGTGAAATCAATGAAGCGCTAAAAGAGTCTTCCCGACGAGAGAGAAGAATAATATTTCTCCGTTTGTAAAACGCGTTCCGCAACGAAAACATTTTTGCAAAAGTTATGCTCTTTGATACGAAATCGCGCGCGTACAACGCACGAAAAGAGAAACGAAAAGGGATTTATTGTATCTCGTCCTCTTTCTCTCTTCCTCCGGTTACTTTGCGAAACGAAATGTATCGAATGTGTTTTTCGATAATATAATCCAATTCCTCGGCCACAAACGGTAACTTTTCACCCTTCCAAATCTAGCGAGGGAACAATGCGGAACGTACGTGAATATAAACCGCGCGCGCGCACGCGAGTGGACACCGGGATCCGGGTTCAGGCAGATTTGCATGCAAATCGGATCTTGCGGACGGTAAAATCTGGAACTGGCTTTTTTTTGAGGATGCGACCGATTTTGCTCTAAAATTATTTCGACGTGCCATTGATATCGTTTTATTCTCTCTCTCTCTCTCTCTCTCTCTCTCTCTCTCTCTCTCTCTCTCTTTCTCTCTTTTTCAACACAAATCGAAAAAGAACCGAAATATTGTGGATTGAGCCTAAACTGTCGGACACAAATTGTTTGAGATTTTGCTCTCTCATGCATAAAACATGCCACTTGTTGTCGGATATAATAATGCGAAAAATCTCTTGGCGTACGCGATAAAAAAAAAAAAAAAGATGTTAAAAAACAAAATCGCTTTATATATTTAACGTCCTGTTCGCAATTATTCAGTTATTTCGAAAAGTTTCCGAGGATTTCGCAGCGTGTCACAAAGTATTTTCGCGATCTCGCTATCGCGCCCGAAATATTTAATCGTTTTTTTTAAAGCGCTTTCTTCTCTCGCGCTTTTGTCGCGAAACTCGCTCGCGCAAAAATCTATCTTTTGTCCCCCGAATCGAAACGTCCGAGCGTTTTTAACTTACAACTCAAGTGGATAACGCGGAGAGTCCGGCGAGAAATTCGAATCCTGGGTGGGACTGTTCGAAATCTCGTTGTAAACTCGTTTTCGCTAACATCTGCGTTGCGATGATTGGACGGGCGGATTGTTCTCTCGATGAAACGGCGATTGAGCGTTATATAGCATCCGAGCGAGCGTAGAAACGAAGAGACGAATCCGACTTTCTCTTTCGCGGCTCGTTATCTTCGTTTGCGTCGAAATGGGTAGACGATTTCAATCTTATAAAGACCAGTTAAAATGCAAATTCCATTCGGTTTCTTCGAACAAGGACACGTTTCGCATGCACGTCGATCCCGACGCGTGTTACTCTACGAAGTTACATTTTTTTTGCACACGGAAAATAGAATTTTTTTTTTTTTTTAGTCAAATTGAGGGCAACGCGGTAAAGAGATAAACGTCCCGATGTCCGGACATTGATCGAAGAAACAATTATCAGACTTGTCAAACAACTGTCAATATTTCAAATATTTTCTAGAATACATAGTTTTAAATGTTATAAATATTAAATGTTTAATGTTTAAATATTACTTTAATACAGTTTCCAACACATAAACAAAGTAATTTATTATAATTACCTCTTTAATAAATGTCAACAGTACGTTGTCATTGGAACGTGTGATGAAGAAAGTTCAAATTCACAAAATGTTGGAGGCAAAATAACACACGTGTCATCTCTCTCTCGTTGTTTATCTCGGCGAGGGAAAAATGCGACGCAATGTTTGACGGGCGACTGAAACCGGGCGATATTTCCGATTGGCCGTAATCATACTCACGCCGTGATCGGCGCATCTGGCATTAACTTAACCGTTGTTCGCAGCTGCACTCGCGCATTTCCCATGGAGATGGATGCGGACGCATTTGTTTATCGCTCGCGGGCGACATTTTAATTTTCCGTCCATTTGTAATAGAGAGACCCCGGCGCGTAACACGTACGTATGTATCTGTGCGCGCTGCGAGAGATGCAGATTCAATTAGATACCGATGACAATGGAACGGGGCCGAAGCGCGAGACCGAATGCTCGTGACACTACGGGCCGCAGGTGTTTCGAACGACCGATTTTCCTCCCGTTTGTACGGAAATAGTATTTACTACTAACGAGTGGTCGGAATTCACTCGGACGCCGTTACACATTGGACGGCGTTTCCAGATACTTGTGTTACGCCCTGGCTACTGTTTTTGTCGCGAGTAATTTCGAGAAACTCGTCGTCGCTTCGCGCGCGATCGGGTTGCGCTTCAATTATGAAACGCGATTTTACGTGGAAAAAAAACACACACACACGCACACAAAAATTGAGCTGCGCAAAAAGTTTTGCGGTGAAACACAAACTCTAAATTGGCGTGAAAACATTTTATGATAAAACAGCCGGTGCGTCGCCTCTTCAACGCGCGTGACGTCACGCAAAATTCTCGGATAACCGCGGGAGAATTTCATTCTGTCAAATAAAACTTGCGCGCTCTCTCTCTTTTGTCGAACGTAGGAATGAGCGGGTAGACAAAACCGCAGGAATCCTGTTATTAATCTCTTTTAGGACACGGAACGTGTTTTAAATCGCTTCGCGCGCGATTTTCGAATATATACCGCGTACTTGCATAACGATTTTTTACTCGGCTCAGCGGGAAATTCCGCTAAAAGGATTTGAAAATTCGAATTTAAATTTCTGATTTGATTCCTACGGAAGATAAAAATGTGCCTGATCTTTCATCATGTCCGTAAACGCGTGCGATGTAAAATTACATTTTTTTCTAAAATAAAGCTTTTAAATCAAAGATCGTGTTGCTTATCGATATTATCAGCAAAGCACTACCTTGTTGTTGCTGTTATTATTACGTTGTTACGGCACGTCGTTAATTAGTTCATCTTTGTGTCGGATTTGTGTCTAAAGTAGTTGTATAACGGCGTTATGAGATTTTCTTCGGCGTTCTTTAAAGTTGGAATTTCAGTTGCTCGGAATAGCTCGACGGACAAAATAGAAAAAGATTGATTGGACTTCAAAGCATCTTTTCAACGCGCCAAATACGCAAAGAAAAAGATTGGGGATGAATTGGCGCCGGGATAGTAGTATTAATTTTCTCCGTGGTTATTTTTTTCTTTTACTTTCATCGAAGAGCGCGCGGAGATTTCATCGCGTCATTCTGCGCTTTTTATTTCCGAAAAAATCTTACACTTTTATCCGCGATATAAAGCCCACGCTATTGCACAACAGCAGTTTCGGCATTCGAAAGAAGAGAACAGCGATTTTTTATTACACACGCCCTCTCAAAGGAAGCGATCACTTTACAATTTAAACGCGTTAAATTACCACACAAATTACTCACTGAATATAAATGATGTCCCGATGACTGTTCGAAGCACCACTGTGACCGGATATTTATTAAAAAAATAACTGTAACAAATTACTTACGTACGTATACAAGAAGAAAAAATAATTAGAAATATATAGTTGTTTAATACTTAAAGCATTTGCATTTGTTATGTAATTAATATTCGTATCTAATTAATTATTAATAATAATATTTGTATTTAATAATTGTTGATTAATATTTATAATAATTATATTTCCTCGATAAATATTTGCGGTTATTAAAACATTTATCTCTAATTAATCTCTTATTTTTCCACAATCTCTGCATTTTATTTCAACACTGCACATAACTATTCTAAATTAATAAATTGTCTCTTTACACGTGAGATGCGATCATTAAAAAGAAATCGGTATGCACGAGAAAAATGTTCTGCATTTTAGGAGCAGTAGGCGGTGAGGGTGGCGATGAGGACGACAAGGAAAAGGAGGAAGAGGCCGAGAGAGAAAGGCAGGAGGCTATCAGGGAGGCCGAGGAACGGAGAAAGGAGAAGCACCGCAAAATGGAAGAAGAACGGGAGAAGATGCGACAGGAGATCAGAGACAAGGTCTGCAAAAACTTTATTAGTAGCTTCCTCGGTTTTTAGATCTGGTTTTTACCCTCGTCTCGGTTCGCAATCACAGACACAATTATCGCGAGAGAGACTTACGTCTCTCCTAGCTCAAGAAGATGTACTTCGGACGCTCTGATTGCGATGTAGTGATTTATGTATTCGCGCAAAACTCGCCCCCTCTGCGCCCGTCGTTAATTGCGCCGTCCGATCCCCCACATTCAATCGGCGACAATTACAAAAACGCGCCACAATTCTCTCTTGGAAACTCGCGAATGCATTTGTACGAAATGTGTGTGTGTGTGTGTGTGTGTATGTGCGTTTGTCAAATCTAAAAACTTGCTGAAACAAAGTCCAACCGCTTGTCGCAAACGCAAAAACCATTCGCGCGCGGATAATTTTGTCATTCGATATCACCGAAGCGAATCATATTTTTCCAGTTAATCGCACAAGTGGACTTTGCTTCTGTAAATTTTACACACAGCGTGGATGAATCCGAATATCGTCACGTGTTGGTTTTTTTTTCTCTCTCTCTCTCTCTTCCCCGCGCGTATTCCACACGAGAGTCCTCGATTTCATCTAGGTCATGTCAGGCGCCGTTGACTCCGCTCCGTTCCGTTGACAGAACAATACATCAGGATTGATAATGGCGCGCATTTTACATCTCTTTCTCTCTCGCGCTTTCCCATTTCCCCTTTCCCCTCTCACTCCCCCGCCGTTTTTCTTCTTTTTTTTTTTCCATCGCGCACGTTTGTTTCCCTCTAAACCGGCGAGTGCGTTCGAAGTTTTTTTTTTTTTTCGCGAGATCTCCCGGTGGCGTACATTGTTCTATCCCGTTTGATCAATGCCTCGACAGATCCTATTTTCTGGGGGATTCCGGTTTTTGATTGTTTAGTCCTTCGGAAAAATGTTAAGTGCACCCGACCGACCGAACTGGATCTCCAGTGTTAATGGAGATTCAAGAGTTGAGATAAGAAGAGGGAGAGAAAGAGAGAAAAGAAAGGGGAGAGATTATTGATTCGCTGTGTAATGAATAATTTTTCCTATTAAAACCCAGACGAATAAATTACCGCGAGTATAAAAGGTGAAACGTGAGAAAATAGAATGATAAATATTAATAAAAATAATGGACGCGACGTGCGCCATGTATCACGTAACATTCTGCTCTTGTCGTTTGTACAACAAAAGTAACCCACACAAGGTTCGCTGCGAAAGTTTATGCGCGTCACAGTTGCGCAGGTTTCTTTAGAGATACATATATTAGTCCAATTAGCTTAATGAATTTTGTGTGACGTTAATTGGAGCGGAAACGTGGTTATCATCTCTTATGTAAACAGAAAATGATATCGTTGAAGGGACCGAAACGCATTATTCGACGTTGTGGAATTTCGGTTTGATGATGATCCGCGTGTATGCGCGGAATACAGACCGCACACTGTTGCAGTTGTAATTTCACATGCGGAAGTGGTCGTCGAGTGGTTTGAGCGCGTAACCATTATCGCGGGCATAGTTGCGACTCGAATATAGAGGACGTCTTGAATCAACTAAATTGGTGAAGCCGCGCGTAGCGCACGCGTGCGTGCGTGCGTGTTTTCAACGAGAAATCAGAGAGAAATTCGACGATGGCAAAAATCATGATCTCCGAGTCTATAATTGCATCCGTGAGAATCAAAGAACCTTGTGCTTGTTCGACGCGCAGAAGAAGCGCGAGGGATGTAACTATGTTTCTAGAAAAAAAAAAAAAAAAAAATACTTTGGCGGTGCGTCTCGCGAAGTTTCGAGAAGAACGAATGTTAAAAAATTCAACGATTGAATTTTAAATCTTCGTTAAAGACGGTAAAAAAAGGTCGAGACAGATGTAATGGCGCAAAAGGGCGGAGCGGCGCGCCCGGTGGTTTTATTTACTCCGCCAAATCCGAAAAAGAAAGAAGGTAAAAGTCTTGTCGCAAATTCGCTCGTCTCTTCGTTGCGTTCGTATAAAGCAAGAGGATTTGTCCGCGGAACATAATTAACACTAATGGCCGCGTTTCTCGTCATAAAACGAAAGACCCCACCTTCAAATCCCTCTTCTTCTAACTCTCTCCGTTCTTCTCGACGATGGAAAACGTGATTCTTCGAAAACGAGCGGAAAGATTGAGACGCGCGCGCGTTCCGCAGAATCTCTCTCCTCCCTCTTTTCCTCTCCCTCCTCCCTCCCTCTCTCTCTCTCTCTCTCTCTCACTCTGTCTCATGAGAATAGAGTATCCATTATTCCTCCGTAGTGGAAGAGGCTTTGGCATGGTAATCGCATTGGGTCAAGTCAAATCCGATTTCCAATCTCAACTAATGAACGAAGTGGGACTTTGTTATAGAAAAATCCCTATGCAATTTAGAAGTATATTCTTTTTTCGCTCCCGCCGCTGCTTTATTTGGAAGCTATTTTCGCGATTTTTTTAATCACAAAACAAAGAGCGCGTCTCTTAACCGACTGCGTCTCGAGCATTTTTATTTTATTTACATACACATAAAATAAAATACTATTATTTTTTACTATGCTACATGTGAGAAAGAGAGAGAGAGAGAGAGAGAGAGAACTACAAGAGCAAGTCTCTCGCTTATCGTGTAATATCGTTTGTATCGCGATGCTCGGAGAAAATATTACTCAGCGCAACACCCGACACTTTGTTCCACCCCCGTTTACCCCCGGTTTGGCCTTTCTGTTCTTCGTCGGCATCTCGAGGAAAAATTGCTGAATGACGTTATTGCACATTGCCGTGACCAATGTGCATCGACATCATCGCCTTTGTTGCAACGCCGCGCTTTACGTGCCTCTATATCGTCGCACTCCCTTCCCCGTTTCACAACTGCTCGTTCCTTTAGGTATATTTCTATCCTTGAAAGTAGATAGTACAGCGCGTAAAAGAAAGTAGATAGTACAACGCGACAATGTTAAAGAAAAAACGTTTATGTTGAATGTAAAGACTATTGCCTAGTTTTAAGAGATGTGTGTGTGTGTGTGTGTTAATCGTTTACGAAAGAGAACGAGTGTTTTGACGATATAAACTTCAATGACAATACATTTTGTGAAGTAGAATAATCATATTTCACGACGTTTCCGCGATTAGAATCTGCGTCTATCGATCGATCGCGCCTGTTGTATTCTGATAAATATCTAAGACGGTGTCCTGCAAACGGACGAAGAAGAGGAGGAGGAGATGTTACACAACGGGGACGAGAAAAAGAAGAAACGCCGAGGAAGCGAAATAGGAAGAGAGAAGATTGAACTTAACTGGGGTCAAATTGACTCTAGTAGGGAGTCCCTGCATTCAATATGGCGACTTCCTAATAGAGTCAGGCTGACTCCTTTTAAGACGTTCACCAAGCGAGGAGCCGTCTCGCGGAAGTGCTTAAGAGCGTGCGTTTTAAATCAAGTTAAAGCCACTTAATTTAAAGTGTCAGCGTCGATTTAATATGATACCGAGATAAAAAGAGCGAATAAAAACTCGGACAACGTTGCGACATACATGTGAAATAAAATGTCATTTTCGGGGTTTTTAGTTTTTGTTTTTTTTGTTTTTTTTCCATACAAAAACGCAGTTCGTTACCGAACAAAATTTTGTCGTTCCCGGACAAAAATAAATAAAATTCTCTAATGTTTTGCGTGCGTGTCCGATTTTTAGAAAATGTATTTTTTTCTAATGTAGATATATACGTGCACATCTATGTGTGCGCTAAGAGGGTCGCGTGATAAATAGCCCGCAGATGTGTGCCTTAATCCGGCGCATAATAATGTTCTCACAGTTTTGAACGTGTGAATGGACAGAAGCGCGCACACGCAGGGAAGATACACGTGTAGACGCGGTGGCATGTGTACCGAGGAACATTAATTAACGTCAGGAGCATCAGATTTGACGCTTCCATGAGATACCGGGCTCGTTTATCCTTGCGCTAACTGTCTCTTCGTTGTAACAAGTAATATGTTGAGAGATTGAGAGCTGAGTGTGTGTTGAAGAGAGAGAGAGAGAGACAGAGAGAATGAGATAGACACAGAGAGAAAAAGAGGAAACGGATGACAAACTTTTTTTTATCATTTTTGTTTCACAAAAATATGTCGACTCTGAGTAGCTTTTAAAAACTCTGTCATTAAAAAAAAAAAAAAAAAAACATCTCTGTTTCGAGACACACACTCTGTGTACACGGAGTGCCTGATATCCTCGACACACTAGCCTATTTCTTCGAGTCGCGTCATACATAATGCGAACGCGTAATCGGTTTTGGTTTTCTTCGAAAAGCGCATTGCATTTGCAGAAAACAAAAGCGCGAAATGTCGAAACCGCGAGCGCGCTGCGCGCGGTCGATTGCGTAACAAATTTATTTTGCCAAAGGACAATAATTAATGAGGCCTCGGTCAGTAGTATAATCACGATATGTGTACGTATAATTGGCGCGGAGCGATGACAATACCCGCACACAAGGCGTGCGCGCACACAAGTGGTGAAAGCGGCACTTGTATGACTAATGTCATGTCCAGCTCGCGCCGCAATCGAACTTATTGTTCGCCACGAGAGTACCTAGAAATATGTACAGCGCTAGGAGGTAGTGCATATAGCACGATCATCGACCGCAAAATATATTACCGTAGGCGACAATAATTATTACATGTAGTAATAAATTATTACGTTACACAATAATTATAAATTTATCATTATTCCCCATACGGTAACAAAAAATTGTAAAAGTGAATTATTATACATGCTGATATAAATGTTATATATAGTAAGAAATATTATAAATTATTATATACAGTAATAAAAAAAAATGACAAAGAGAATAAATTAATTTTAAATCAATTTCAAATTGAAATTAATTTTAATTTTGTGGAAAATTGGCTAATTATTGTTCAAGAGGAAATGTACTACGTACGACTGACAAGTCTTTTTGTTTAATACACTGTCGCGTATTTTTGCTAATCCGTTAATGTTAAACGTCTTTAAATTTGATCGCGTAGAATTTGCATCGCGCAACTCGATTAAATTCTGTTCGATCTGTCCGGACCTTTAACGTGAAAAAGTCGCAAATGTGTCTTCGCTTGACGAGATGTTGTTTTTGTTTGGTTTACAGTATAACATAAAGAAAAAGGAGGAAGTGCAAGAGATACCGCAGGAAGAACCGAATCCCTTGATGCGGAAGAAGAAAACGCCGGAGGAATTGGCGGCCGAGGCCGAGGCTGAGGACGAAGATGAGTTCACCAGTACGTAATCGCAGTTCGCAATTTTAAACGCGAGACGTTTTGCGCGAAGAGAAATAAATAATTTTTTTTTCCGCCGGAAAATTATTTCGCGACTTGACGATTTTCGAGTTTACTCGCGCTACATCGGATTTATTTGCACGCGATTTCCGGCGCTATCTCGGAAAGGAGCAAACTTTATTCTCTTTCTTAAGTTCCCGTAAAAGTTGCGAAGAGCGCGACAACAGACGCAATAAAAGCGATCGGGAGACAAGGCGGTTAATAGAGGAAATGTCGCGGCGCTTCGGGAGAGAAAGAGAGAGAGAAAGAGAGAAAATCGTGTGCACAGCTAACCGAGATTCACACACTGTACACGTTTATGATTGTTCGCGCTCGGAACTTCTGGGTCACGTGGTTTTTCTTACTCAAACTAATCTCGTTTCTCAACTTCTTCTTCTCAAGTCTCACGTTTCTCTCGAAAGGCGAAGTTAAGGGGAGGAATGTACCGTCTATTTTTTTTTAAATTTTAATTGCACGCGTTCGTTGCCGTTTTATATATGTACGTCAGACGTATGTGTTTTGCGTTTGGATTGTTTCAGAATTGAGGAACACGATAGAAACGCAGGTGAACGAGCTCAAGACGCAAATTGAAAGTAAATGCAGCCTCCAATGAGTTTGTCATATCGCGCGGCTCGCGAGGAACGCGACGATAACGACGCTGTCGCGCGTTGTCGTCGTGATGATCGCGTCCGCCCTTCACATCTTGCTGCCCGCGAGAACAATGAGGGAAAGGGCGGCGGAGGAAATAACGAAGCGGCGAAAAAAACGGGGAAAAACGATATGCAAAGTAACCATCGGCATCGGCACGTGTCCGCGGAGGACGAGCAATTTCAGGAATCGGTGGCCGATTAATCGATTTAACGTCAGTCAAACGTTGCTTGAAATAGAGTGAACGCGACAAGAAGACGCGATTCCGAGGGATTCCTTCGGGGATTTTGTCCTGGGAGGATTCCCGGAAGATGTTGTACTGCCGCTTGATTTGCGCGCCATCTCGAAAATCGGAATTGATCTCGTCGAGAATTTTTGTTCCGCGCTTGAGAATCGAGAAACAGAGCGAATCGGGAAGACAGAAAGCGAGAAAAAGCAAAAGAGAAAGAAAAACAATTCTTCCTTTTATTTGATCACGCTACTTGCGGGTATAAAAAAAAAACAAAGAGATTGATGAGAGATTAATATTTATGGAATATTAAAACTTACAAAAACCTTTGCATAAAGGAGAAGAGAAGTGCAAGAAGAAAGAACAAATATTATTCCGGAAGTGAAGGTTCAGGTCGCGGACGTGACAAAAGGACGTTGGCAATTAAAACTGAAAATTACTAATTAGAGAAACGCGCAACAGTGAAACGTTTAAGAAAGAGAGAGAGAGAGTGCTCGAAGACCTCTTGAGAGGAATCGAATCGATTTTCCAAAGAGATGGGCGAATAAATAGAAAATCCACTAATCTCGAAATTTAAAAGAAAACTATTAACTGGAAATGAAACAGACAACAACATCCAACAATGTCAATAGTCCTTAGTGGTATTTGAAGGAATTTGATTGCACAGCAGATTGCATTCCTCGACAAGGAACAAAACGTGACGTACAACGCAAACCGCATTTAACCGCAGTAAAACAAAAAAAAAACAAAAAATAAAGAAAAATAATCCGAAATAAATGTGTAACGATGGCAAATGTTTCCAGTAACAAATATTAACTGAATAAGCAATAAAAGGCTGTTGAATAATTTGTATAATAAATAGAAAAATTTTAAAGAGGCGAATCAAACGAAAAAAAAAACGATGCTCGATAAAGACGATATCAGAATCGACTTCCTCGATTTCTACAAGCAACTGAAATTAAACTCAACCGTAGGTCTCAGAAACTTCTGCAAACTTTGAAAGGGAAAGAAAGAAAAAAAAGAAGAAGAAGAAGAAGAAGAAGAAAATTCTCGACGGACGTCCCGATGTTCTCTACAAGTGCAACGAAGAAAAACGTAGGCTTGTTGCCGAAGAAGCAACTCAATCGATGATTGCCACCGTGAGAAGAAGCATGAAATAAGGAGAAATAAATGCACAAACCGATATGTTTCCTTGAGGAGAGGAGAGGATTGTACAATCCGGCATTGCGCGAAGAAATTTGAGATCCAGAAATCTAATCCTTATCTGATTCGAAGGCAAATTCTCCGCGATAAAACGAGCGTGGAAACCAGCGAGGGGGAGGAATGATTTGAAGCATTGTTGATCGTCGATGGTGTTCGTGATGGGAAAAATTTCAAAGAACAAAACAAATAAAAAAAAAAAAAAACAATGACGCGCGAAAGCAGAAAGAGAAAAAGAGGGAAAGGAAGGGGGAAGAAGATGCTGACCCGACCAGAGTGTAAATTCTTTTTTAAATTGTTGCTGTTGAAAAATGCGAAAAAAGTGATATTGTTTTATATAGAATAATTAGGTGTTCTGTAGAATGTACTTAGACGCAACCTATAGTTGGTTAAAAAAACAAAGAAAAAAAACAAAAACAAAAACTCAACTATTCGACATGACGAAGTCACCTGCGAGCACGAAGTTGTTTCTACTTCTTACAGTTTTCGACACTCGACGAAGATGTCTGCGAAGAATTTTTGGCGCAATTTGGCGGTTCTCGGAAAAGTCAACCCACTTGGCACCACGAGATTTAATTGTCACGGCTAGTAAACGACGTTTCGTTCGTTCAGATATTTTACGGAATGCTTAGTTATTCTATGCTGCAAGACTAAAAAGAAGATACGCGTGTGATACAAAAATATATTGCATTATAAACACTTTTTTTTGTCGTTAAACCTCGGTGAAGAACGTAAGATCGAAAATCGTCTGACTTGACAGCACACAATACCACGCGTTGCTTCTCTCTTTGTTTAACCGACAACTTAAAAATTGCACCGCAAACGATAATTTTTTTTTTTTTACAAAAATAAGATATTTTATCTGGTCGCGCGACACGCAGCAAGCGACGCTTGCGAACATAAGAATCTAAAACGCGAGGCGGGAAGATCGGTCTCTCTTATTTACGACGGCTATGAGAATCTTAAAACATAGATTATATATATATATATATAAATATATATATACATAAAATAAAAATGTAGATAAGTGAGAGTAAGAAAAAAACGAGAAACAAAGTAAAAAAAAAAAAAAAGAACCGTACGTTAGCGCGTTAAGTTTTAGGGAAGACATTTCGGATAGAGAAAAAAAAACTTAGCTGAGGATAATTGATAGTTCAATTCGACGACTGTTTCGATACGTTACAGAGGGAGGATGGTGATATAAGAAGAGAAGTTCTTATTGTTATCGCGTTATAATAATTATTATTATTATTGATACGTGTAACTCTCTGCTCTATGATTATTGAAAAAAGGTTCTTCAAAATAAAAATAAACAAACGTACATCGGGAGTCACAGAAAGATCATCGCAAAATTGTCATGACAATTACGGGGAACGAGTTTTCGCTTTGCCGTTCGTCCGTAAACTGAATGTAACACGATCGGGTTTCAAATACCGGCGATAAACACATTTCGTTATTTGCAAAAGAAAAACAAACAGAAAAAAGAATAATATTCGCGGAAAACCTGCGAGTTTTTTTTAACCGTTTTTTTTTTTAAGTTCTAAAATTCCATTTTTTTCGATCTTCGATAAATTCGTCGCGACTGCGTTTTTCTTTCTTACGTTTAGAAATAATTGAAGAAAACTTGGATTTTTTAAATTTACCAGAGCACACAATGAGATTGGAAGTGGCTCTGTTCGCTAACCGAAAATACACATTCGGAGGTACGTGTGAAATTCCGTAGGCGAGGCAAGAGTGTCGGGACAAAATGAGAGCAGTTATATAAAGCGAGAGAGGGAATAAAAAATAAAGACGTTTAATATATTATAGATCCACTTTTGTATGGGAGAAACAGAGATGCAAAATGTATTTTCTCATTTTCGACAAAATGTTGAAGTTTTGCAAACGTTTTAGCGAAGCGTTTTTCGATCAACCCTCGTGGCAGGGCGCGATCGAACGATAATTCAGATAAATTATAGCGATGCATTCGATTTGCGCGTAAATATGAAGTAAAGTAAAAAAAAAAAAAACATTAATAACTACTCGATAATAAAACGATAAGTTTGTTTTACTATTGATAGAATGAAGTCAAAGTGATCTAAAGATTATTATTAAAAATTCTTGTTTTTTTTTTAAACAGTTTCACTGATCGGTCGATCCTTTTACTACTGTTCAAGAGATAAAAGATCGTTGAGATAAACGATTGTCTCTCTTCTTTTTTACGCATTTACCTTGCAAGCTGTTGCGCGTAATTTTTTTTCAAATTCTGTGTGAGGACTATTTAAAAATCACACAGAGAGAGAGAGAAAGAAAGAAAGAGAGAGAGAGAGAAAGAGAGAAAGAGAAAGAAGCGATCTATGTTTCTTGTTAGAGACACAAAGTCCGTGTTAAAATTTCTCCGATTCTTCAATTTATCGACGATGCACTTTTTGGTTAAATTTCTAGAATTTTCTTTTCTCCTTTTACATTCTCTTTTTTTTGCGGGAAATCAATATAAAATAAATGAGTAACGTGAAAAATTCGCGTTTCCGAAAAGACTCGGATGTTCTCTGCTGTGTCTGGGAAGTTAATTATCGTCGGGCACACATGAGCGATATTCCGCGAGCGCAAAGAATCACGAGAGCACATCACCTGCCGCGTTTATTCCACACTCTGGCATCGCGAAAACCCGCAAAACTTTTCTTCCCCAATTCGCGGGAACAACAGGATCGACTCCGAACTTCGCAAAGTTTGACGACGACCGAAAGTTTCGCGAACGTCGCCGACAGCGCGTTGCGCCTACAGCCCTTTCTTTCGCTCTTTCTCATTGTCAGTCTTATCCCTTTTTCAACCCCCTCGTTCCTCTTTCTCTCTTCTTCTCGTTTTGTCTCTCTTTTTTTCTCTGTCTTAGAACAAAAAAAAATACTCCCTCGTTCGATGCGACCGCAGTTATAGTCGCTCACGAAAAAACCAAAAAACAAAAAACACAAAAAAACACTCTTTCCTCAGCGTTTGACTTACCCCCGTTCTGCTTTCGGGTCTGCTTGAGAAACAGACGACGAGAATTTTTATGTTTTCGGAGGCTCCGGAGCCTTGCCTGAGGATATGATTTATATTTGAAAACGGATCTTATCGAAGAAAGAGCGTTGATTGAGAGAAAAATCTTAGAAAAGAGATAAAACAATTTAAGAAAAAAAAATACACACAAATTAATTTTTCTCGAAAGAATTAAATTCGCAATTATTTTCTGTTTCGAGATTATTTTCGTATCTTGTTTTTCTGTCGAGTTTTTAGACACACACAGAAAAAAAAAAAGATGATCTCGAACGACAAACTTTCAATCTCCAAACAATCCCGGCGCGAGAATCAAGGAAACGATCGACATAAACAAATATACATTCAGGAGTGCAGAAAGTAAACAACAAATGTAAACAAACACTTCTTGCAAATAACATTTCCAGGTGTACAGGATGTATAAAATCTATTTCGTGCGTTTGTCGATGTGCATGTCAAATTATTTCTCCGCTTATCGTGTCTTCTTCGTGTCCCACTGATGAATGTCACTCTGCTACGACGCTCGAATTTGCCTTGCAACTGTCGAACAACAATTTCCCTCGAGCGTTACGCCTCTCATTGCATTGCTCTCCCTTCGTCGCCGTACTTACCTCAGCGACCGCTTCGTTATCAGTAGTGGGGTGCATTCTGGAGTGATACTGCGCCGTGCCCTACCATCGACAACGAAGCCGCGGACCGTTGCTGCGGCAAGCGCGGCGAAGAGAGGGACGAAGAAACGTAGGCCATAGTCGTAGCGCTCGAGGGGATCCCCTCGGCAACAAATTCGAGCGCTGCTCTATTACATTGGCTGGCTGATCTTCTTCATCGCGCAGTTTAGTGTTCTCGTGTAACTGTCTGTCTGTCTGTCTGTAATTGAAGATCTTCGAAAATTACCCTGTGACGGGAATTTAGAACCGCACACGGCGCGGTCGGAACAATCAACAACTTCGAACCAGAATGATTCTTCCTCACACACACACGCTTCATCCCGAAATCGACTGGATCGCGACTTCACGTAACTTCACGTTCCAGTTTGATTTCATTCAAAAAAAAAAAAAAAAAAAAAATTTGGCATAAGGATAAATACACACGACACGATTTAGTTTCCTACAGAGAGAATATATATACAACAACGCGTTCATTAATTTCATTCTACTCTCATCGTTCAGAATATTTCATCATTAGCTTTCTGTAATTACTGTAATAACGTTCGCGTATAAAACGGCGTCATTACAATAATGCCGACTGAAAGTTCGCTTTGAGTTCGCATCCTCATGCAGCTTTAGGCTATGGAACATAACATAATCAAAGGAGAATTCTATATATACATACATATATATGCGAAGTCTTTTTATCATAATAGTTTATTACGATTTTTAGGCGTGTTTGCGAAGAAACTAATGAAAAAATTTCGCCGCTTGCAAAGCCGCGCAAAAATAAATAAAAAAAACCAAAAAAAAAAACAAACTAAACTTTATTAACATTTTCGCAAAACGCCTCGAAAAATCGCGCTGGTGGCTACAATGAATACACACACTGTGTATACGTACAAAAAAAAAAGATTGCATACATTACGCGTATATGATACATATATCGAAAGCATATATACATATATATACACATAAAATATCGACATATTTTGTTATGAAGAGTAAAAAAAAAAAAAATAAGGACACGATATGAGGTCATTTTCGAAGATCCTATTTCTGCCGAAATCTTCGCGTTCTTTCCTCTGTGAAACTGCGTGTTGCATATTTGATCACCCTGATTAAATCTCATAAAATGGCATAAGTTGATATGAAACACGTTTTTTTTCTCCTCTCGCATCGCATTAACAATATTTATATTTGATACCAGAAAATATTCTTGCTAAAACAAAATTCAAAACCTAAAAACGCGCGGAGATTCAGACTAGATCAGGGAGTCTTTGATTTTTTGAGATCTCGCGATTTTTTTGTAATTGCGTGAGTTTTTCAATCAGGGCGTGTGCGTATGCAACAACGTTGTTTTCGCTGTATTTCCAACGACGACGACGAACGCGCTGTCCCTCAGCGTCGTCGTTCAGATTAAATATCAGAAGCGGTGTGTTAAATACTCAAAGTCAATTACTCTCAATATATAAATCAATTTCACCGAAAGATATAAATATATACTTTGTCTCGATATATAAATTCTCGATATAATAATGCAGTATTTATCCTAATTATAGATTTACACGCGTGTTATCAAGTGATTGACACGCGCGTGCAATTGATTAACAAGTGTACAAGCGGAAGTATTAAATTATTTTCAATGTGCGTAGCGAGAGGAAGCAGTTGGGTTAGAAAACTTACCGTTTGTAAAAGCTTTAACATAAAAAACGCGTATAATAACGAAATGAGACTTTTGTGGAATATTATTTTTTCACATTACTTCTATATTTTTGTGGTACGGTTGTTTGTATAATTTTTATAATGTATAACGAGAATACAATTAAAAGAGGATCCTAAAAGTGTATAAAGACAAAAAAAAGAATGGTAGAACTTTGACATTTAAACGAGTCTATTGGGACGGATTGAGGAAATTCTCCATACGCAAATATACATTCCTGTGTATAAATATATACTTTGTAAACAAAAAAAAAAAAAAAACAATTATCATATTTCAGTTCTTAGCAATATACGTGCACTCGAGAGTCTCGATATTTAGATATCGGAGAGTCTCGAAGTAGCGAAAGATTCTATATATATTATAAATATACATATGTAATGCTTCTTCTTGTACAAAAAAAGAAAAAAAACAAAAGACGTGGCAATACACGCGAAGGACCAGGAATATTCCTAGGAGCAAATTTTAATCAATAATCGAAATCCCACACACTGGCACTGAAAAATAAATCAGACGCTTCTCCGGCATAAAAAAAAAAAAAAAGTAGACGACTCCACCGCGGAAAGATAAACTATCATCCTCCTGGTCTCTAATTGTAAAACCGGTCACTGAGCAACAGTGACATAAATATTTTGCTTAATCGCTCTCTCTCGTCTCACTTATCGCGACTTATTCTCCTTCCGCCATAATCACCCTCTATGCTATATGTGTCTCTGTAAACGATATCTCCGCTATTGCTCTCCTTAGACAACTTTCGATGTTTATCTCTATAAAACGTTAAAAAAATGTGGAAATCAGACAAACAAATCTGCGAAACTTCTGTCAAACAAATGCTTTATTTTGTGTTTTGTTTTTTTCTTTATTATTCTCGACGCCCGTGCGACGTCATAAAGTGACTCGTTTGTTTTAAACGAGAAATATTCCCCGAGTAAATATTCCTAATTACACGTTGCTTACGTCGACGTTAATTTTGTCATTAATTAGTAATTTAATGTAAAGACTTGTTTGTACAAAGTGCTCGAACAATTCTCACACGACTTGTGATTTCCACATTTGTTGGAATATTGTATTTAAAAAAAAAATAATAATAATAATAATGCATGCACTCTTCTTCTCGTATCAATGTCGTTCTTCTATCTGAAAGTAGCTGGCTGCAAATTTAGTTCGAGTTGATGTTATTCGCGAAAAAACTTTTCTCTTTTCAAATGCAATGTACGACGAAATAAAAATTGTTTTCACCCTCGAGAGAGACACCGTTCCGACGGTGTAACAAGATTACAATCGCGTCGTTTTACCTTCTCTCTTTCAAGTAATTACAAATCTCCAAAATAATTTACGAAGCAAATGAACAAACTCGCAGACACACATTTACAAAAAAAAAAAAAAAAATTAATCCCACAAAGGGAATAAGCGAATGATGTACCGTAATCCTCTCTCCGCCCAAAACCAACCAAAATGGCCGCCGAGGAATGGCGAATCTCGAGGGCGAAAATAACTCGCTTGGGCGTTTGAAACTTCGCTGTTCAATAGAAAGAAAAAAGTCATCTTCTTCTCGGTCCTACTACTACTCGGAAACAAAAAAAAAAAAAGAAAACGTAGTGCATTTTCTCTTCTGCTGTGTGTAAAAAAAAAAATTTAGCCCTCTCTGTAATTTCTCCGTAGAGAAAAACTTATGATGTACTTACGTGCGACGCGCATATTTACGCGCTGCGTTGCACCCTACTTCTCTATTCTATATCTAATATCTACGTAGCGAGATATATGAGAGGAAAAAAAAATCAATTGCGAAGAGCAAAAGTTAATGGCGTGTTTAGCTGAGAGGTACATCAAAACCCTCTTTGATGTTACTGCTGATGCCGATGTCCGCTGATACTGCTGATTAATGTCGTGTGTCGTTGTTGTTTCTTAATAATCGACATTAACCCTAAGCAATATGACGTATTGCATTGTTGTTGTATGTCTCTCGATTCCGAAGCGGCGGGATATTTAATGCGGCGTGTAAAGCAATGTTTTTGTTTTAATAGATAAAGTATAACAATAATTGCACAGACGTTACAACGCCCCACGTTGGTCTGTTACGTTTTTATTTTTTATCACAAATGTCACGAAGTAGATTGTCCGTAATGTGTGTCCTCAGATCATATTGCTTAGGGATAATAATGCTCATTGCCATGTCGCTACTAACTGAAAATCGTTGGAAAATTTCTCCGAAAAAAAAAACCTCAGAAATTTTCTGCACGACAGCTTTGATGTCTCAATCAACAGTGAAACAGAAAAACTTAACTCGATCCCGAATGCAAAACACGATATCGTTACACCTTGTGTCACTCTTTACTCAATTGTCCGGAGATTTCAATTTCGATTGATTGTTATTTAAAATATTTGCGATTTATTGCGAGAAAAAAAAAACACTTTTGGGAGTGTAGAAAATGGAAAGGAAACGTTCACGACGAAAATGTCAGAAATATAAAACAAAAAAAAAACACATCAGGCAAGTTAATTGAAATTACCGCACATTAAACCTTCCGCCACATCTTCATTTGCGCGAATAATCCATCCGGTTTTTGTTTCTCGTGTAAAATTTGCTCATACGGTTTATTTAAGAAATGTGTTTTTTTTTTTTTATTCTACTTTGAAACATGTTTGAATGAATTTTATCGAACTTTCTTCCGATCAAAGAGACTTAGCCTTAGACATTCTCTTGAGATATCTAATGTATAAATTTTTCTAGTCGCGCCACACACACGCGACTATCCTGTTGACACAAACTTTACTCTCTACGTTCGTTTTACACGTTCGAGAAACGTTGTCGCATTCAAATCCGACTATTTTTATACTTTCTCTCGGTTTACGTCTGGAATTCTTCAAGTTTTGGTACACGTATGTGTGTATGTGTGTGTGTGTGTGTGTGTGCGCGCGCACACATCTCGTTTACTCTGTGAATCTTTCAATACTAGTACTTTCTTAAAAAAAAAGTGCTTTCAGAGTTGCTCAAATCACTCGTACACACGTTTATTTCGCGCGCACATGCTACGTGTTCGCAGCATGTCGCGTTCATAGAAAATACACGGTCGTATAATTTTTCTCACACTTGACAAAAAAAAAACTAAGAACAACTTTAGAGAGTCTACACACTATCTCTCCTTTTTCCTTCAGCCACCCTAAGCCAATTTCGTGCGGCACGTGGCACGTGATATATATAAATGTCAAAAAGCGTAAATAAATAAATAAAAAAAAGAAGAAGAAGAAGAAACCGAGTCAAGCGCTCGACGATTTGTGTTTTTCATATAGGACTCTTGCGTGATATAAAAAAGAAACGAACGTTTTTAAAAAAAAAAAACAAACAAATAAATAAACGCGAGGCTCATCCCGCACTTCGGCGTACCGAATATTTAACCAATATTACCGATCGATCTATCGGCTGATCTACCGTGAAGTGAAGTTAGTTTCTGTCTCACTTTGCGATTATCGCGCTTCGAGGGAACACGAGACGCGCGTGCGTGCGCGCGCGCAAATTGATTATCGTAATAAAATATAATCCAACAAATTGTTTGATTACCACCACCGTCTATTTACGTATTTAGTACAAACGTACGTTGATTGACATCACCGAGAGAGAGAGAAAGAATAGTGTAGACGTGTTAAAAGTGTCTAAATTTTAAACGGGCTTATACGCGCGGTGTAATCGCGGGTAGACAAGTGACGGAAAATGAAAACAGAATCCGGGCGTAATAATACTGTTACTTTCTGTCTTACTTGTCTATTTCACATTGCACGTACGAGGTGATATTTCAAATTTTCTACACTGTATTTAGGCTAAACTGTAAGTCGCCTTTAAAACTTCGATCGCGAAGCAATTAATAAGAAGCGTTACATCACGAAGTCGTGAATCAACTACTCTTCACTGATCGTAGACCATGAAAATCCCGTCGAAAGAAAAAAAAGAACGCGCGCCCGGTCGTTACCTCCGAATCGAATTTTGTTTTCTGCGGATGTTGTGAGTCGTTTCGGGGCACCGACCGGTCGTGGCGAGTCGCGGGATATCCGGCGCGATAGAGCAGGTCAAATCTCAAATGTGATTGGTCCGTCGAAGAGAAATAAACTAGAAAGGAATGCGTGTGTGGAACAATATGAGTAAACTTTAAAAAAAAAAAAAAAATATGATCGAACAACGTTGATTTGCGCGTTACATTGGTGTCGATACGATTTTTCACTGTGTAGCAAAGATTTTTGTAGAGAGATCTCGGAGCTCAAAAAAAAATAAATAAATAAATAAATAAAATAAAATCTCAAAAAGTCTTTTCGGGATTTACAATCTTAGAGTATCATAAACTCGAATAATAATCGACATTGTGATCAATATTAGAAGGAATCGAGAACATGAGTAAAAATAAATTCGATGTTTTTTTTTTATTTAAATGCAAAAAGCGACCAATCAGCGTTTTCAGTTCGAGAAATCGCGCGACGATTCTTGAGGTTCTTGGAAATTGCAAACTGTGCCATTCCTCTATCTTCTTTGCATCTAATGAGTATTCAATCCTATTCAACTACCTGACAAACGAGAGGAATTCGTTCAGAAGATACGAGAGAAAAAAAAGAACTGTAACACAATTCTTTAGAGAAAAAGATACAAACTTCGGGAAGCACAACGTATTAGATTTCCAAATAGCGCCGAAAATTTTGAGGATCAAGGCGGCAGCCGTTATTGTTTTCTCCATGTACATAAAAAAAAAAAAAAAAAAAAGAACAAACAAACAAACAAATCTCTAAGAACATCTCGACCTACATTTTAAACTCGTTATCGTTTTTACAAATATGATGGTTTTTATCGTATATAAAAAAACCAGAACCGAGAGTGAATGGACAAAAGGAAGTCACAATACTCACGGGTTTTCCGTGTCCTCGAGACGTTTGCATTTTCAAGAGAGAGAGAGAAAGATAAGGAAAAAAAACACAGTTCCTACGTAGGTCTCTTTAAGTTTGTATAGAAAGCGAGTCTCTAGTGTCACTCATAGATTTTTTATATGACAAATTTTATATAACCGAATCGGGGTCAACTGAGAAAGTTTGCAGCGCAAATTCTGGGATCTACGGATTCTCATCCCCCATGGAAGTGTAGATTGTTGAAACTATTAGACATTCGCGCCACGTAGGATTTACATAGATCCTTGAATTCCTAGATCCGAGAATTTCTCAGCTTTCAATTTCAATTGTTTTACGGTATTTAATTATTATTTCGTGCGTGCGTGTGTGTGTATGTGTGCACATATTTATTCGATCTGATAACCTGTAGTTTCCCCTCCTTTTTTGTTAAAGAGATTATCGTTCGGTGATTAAATTAAAAAAAAAAAAAAAAAATGCACAGTCTCGAGGAGCACCCGAAAATCCGCAAACACCGACTTGGCTATTCAGAGACAACGACACAACGCATTATAAAGTAATAATGATAACTTAACATTAATCGATTACTATTAACGATCAACTCACATCGCGAAACGTGATTGCGCGATGATGATCAGGATGTTCGCGAACTGTCACGTTAATTCAAAACACATTTTGTTCTTCAGAATAAGGAAATAACAAAAGTAGACGTTTCAATGTCTTGTATTGTTGATGAATTTTCTAATTACGCAAATCGTTTTGGAAAACAAATAAGTTCATTCATGTGGTTTCGCAGTGATTTAACTGCTTGGAAATTGACCGTTTTCTCGTTGACCTTTCGGTTTTTATTTCCGGAACGGAAGAAGAAAAACGCGACAGCTCGGGAACATCCGTAGTTAGAGAAGTTAGGTGTTAAGCGAGATACATCATTGAAAATGAAGTTAACAAAAACCAAACGAGGTTAAGTAGATAGACTTTAGCTTTATACAGAAGAGAATGCTGAGGGAATGTTCATGGAAACACGAGAGAAAGAGCGAGAGAGAGAGCGAGAGAAACAAATAAAGTGAGAAAGAGAGAGAGAGAGAGAGATTTATGAATGAAACAAAAAAAAAAAAATTGCGTTAAAACACTCCGCATTTTTGACTGCCATTCAAGTTAGGAATGAATTCGTTGCACCAACATGTCCGAGCGAACTTGTGTGCGATATATTGTGGGAACGAGTTGTTGTTATTGTTGCTGTGTCACATCACACTCGCATTTTAGAGAGTGTCCGATTTTTAATCGCATTTTCCTGACCTGCGAGTCGTTCGGTCAACAATTTTGCGCGATTCTTCGATAATTCTTAGAACGGTTTTTGAGTGTTTGACTCCCATGCGTTATTAGCCGCACATCTCGCTAATATTGTAAGATTTTGTAAAGACGTTAAAAATTGATTAGAAATTTATTTTTGTTACTTCGCGTATATATAGAGAAGAAGAAATGAAAAACCAACACGTGGCGGCGCTTTCAGATTTTCGAATCTAAGAAATCGACGACTCTCGGTTTCCCCGACTGAAACATCCGCAGGTACAAGAAAGTGCAGTTAATCCGAAACTCCAAGTATTGTCAAGCGTGTTGCACTTGTACTCTTTTTTGTTACATTAACTACAAAATATTATTCGCGTTTGTTAACTTGATCTAAGTATGTGAGATTTTATTGTAAGTACTTCGTTGTATGTATTTGACTTTCTCTTCGAAGATCAAAAAATCTTGGAAGATTGTGTATAAAATTATATTATAAAGATTTGTATTTTAGATTAAAATATCTACGATTAAGTATTATTATGTTTCGTCTTGTTGCTAACCTATTGGAGCAAGTCATTATAATTGAGACGTCACAAACAATTTCAAAAAGTCCCAAACGATTTGTTCATACGGCCTTAAGAACTTAATTAATATAAAAAAAAAGAAGAAACATGTCAAAAAATAATCAGAATCAATAGTTGTGCAAAAAAGTTAATTAATTTGAAAGTTTCATTTGCGAACTTTCGAAAGAAAATCTGTGACTGTTTTTTTCAAGAAAAAATAGTATCTACAAAGTAGAAAGACAGACAAGATAATTCAACAAGAGTCCAATAGGTTACGAAAACTTGTCGCGAGAAAAACTTGTTCGTGCGACGGAAAAGTAGAAAAAAAAAAAAACGTTTCGTGTCTGATTTACTATTTTTAATATTAAATGTTTGTTCTCTTGACGATAGCGTATGTTCGATATTGTTGCGGACCAGACTTCGTGATTTTGTTAAACCGAGAAGCAATACTATCGATGCCTACAATTACTGTTACGGAGCAAGTTCTGTGGTGAAAAAAAAAAGAAAAAAAATAAACGACGATTACTCTAATCCTGGAACCCTAATGCGAGATTGCTGATTCAATTTCATTCGTTTCACACTGACACACGTTTTACTCGAAAAAAAAACAAAAAAAAAACAAAAACCAGTTATATTCCAACACGATGTTATTGAGACACGCAATGTACGGTGTTTTAAAATATTTGCCATATGAGTATTTAGGGTTCTTTAGGATATTAGCAGAAGAGTGGGGAAAAAGAGGAAGAGGGGAGAGAGGGAACAGAAAATATATGAAAACTCTTTTGCAACTCTTTTCGCAGATCTGAAAAAAACAATGTTTGAAAACATTAAAAAACGTCATCATAAAAATGGGAATTAGTTGAGCGATACGAGATTTAAAGACAAGCTTGTGACCTCAATTTAATCTGCGTAATTGATTTAATTACTAATTAGCTTATTTTTTTCTACTGGAAGATACGTATCTGCGAAAAGATAGTGTCTTAAATTATACATTTTCAATTGATTGGACAGTTTACAGAGTAAAACTGTCGGGGAATCTGGCACAACTAAATTTTCTCTCCCTGAATTTTGAGTGAAAAAAAAAAAAAAAAACAGCGTGAACGAGAGTCGCACGAAGCTTGCTCGGAAAATGGATGGAAGGTCGATCGCGAGTGATCTGAAGATTGTCTGGGGCTCTTGAAACTTGGAAAGAGCAAACTTTCGATTTCGCAATGTTGTTTTCCAAATATTTTTTGAGACTCGAATTTTTCTCGCGTATTTCGTTCGTTCGATCACCAACCAAAAAAAGAAAAAACAATCCGAGAGTGTAATCTGAGAATTTTCGGCTACATGTGCACATTCCAATCTTCAATTGGCGCGATTGTATTCAATCTGTTCGAATATTATAGTTTTGCTTTAATACCGAAAGAAGCTGGAATTCTCTAATCGGAGGATCATTTTGCGGCGGACGAGGACAAACAAACAAAACAAAAAAATAAAATAAAATAAAGGACGACGAGACCGCTGGAGAAAGAAGCTCGCGTGAACAAAGGAAGTAAAATATAATAAAGAGAAAGACGTCGGCGGAGAAATAAAACTCTTGTATAAAGTAGCAGTGCGTAGTGGCTAATCTAATCGATAAAGAAATGACAAACGAGTTTATTGTTGAATATAATAATGTATTATGTAACACTAAAACAAAGTAAAAAAAAAAAAAGAGAGAAGGGAGAGAAGAGAAAAACGGAGGCGAACGATGATAATATATATTATATATTGTTGTTAGATATATATATATTATATATATATTATATATATATAAAAGAAGATCTTATAGGTATTAAGAGCGACCACCTAAAAAAAAAAAAAAATTCACCCACACAAGTATACACTCTCGCAGGATATACAGGGTGTCTCAAAGAAAAAAAAACAATGTATTCCAAGTAGAGGAGACGCTTACTGCTCGAATATAAAGAATATTTGCGTTCGTTTTTTTTCTAGCGATGATGAACTTAATCCGAACTATTTGTTGAAAATTAATAAAAAGTGAAAACACACAAAAAATAACCGCATGCATTTTACTTTACTTCTTTGCTCAACCAATTTCGTTTCCTTCACGCATTTACGCGTTACGTCATCAGAAAATCGCGCGCGCATATCGATTTCGCTTATACGCGCGCATTGTCGAGGTTCTGTTTGCGCAACTTGATGCTTTCAATTTCGAAAAAAAAAAAAGTTCCGAGCTAAGCGATTTTTTTCTCTGTCCGTCGTAACGCGATTTCGGAAATATACGCGACTTCGCACGCGAAACCGCAGTACGCGTTCAGAGCCCGCCGGATTGCGTCTCGCGTTTTTTTCACTCTCTTCGGATTGAATACAAAAAACAAAACAAAAAACCACAAATGAAAGACACGTTTCTGGAAAAATGAGGTGGCATCGACAACGTTACGTGGGTTTGCTCCTGCAAGCGGTTCTCTTTGTCGCGAATTGTCGCGCGGAAAATCTGGTGTTTGACGTAAGTCTCAAAAAACCGATCGCGGTGACCGACGATGCTTTTCTCAGCCTCGCTGTGGACCCGGCAATGTTGTTGCAAAATGCCGATAATCTATCGTAAGTATTAAAAAAAAAAAAACTATGTTATATTATAAAAAAATTATATACGTCAAATATATCGTTGTAAAATTATTACTTAACGCAATTTACTTTTCGCAATATTTCATTTATATAAGAGTCTCAATATAAATATTTGACTGTTGTTACAAAATTGATTCACATCGAAAGACACTTGTCCTTCGAGCGGGCACTGTGTCCTTCTTTAGAAGATAAAAGAAAATATCTTACGTAAGAAAAAACATATGTACTTTGTATGTTATTAAAACTAATATATGTCCTCACACACACACAGTCAGAACATCGTGGCGAGCACAAATATGGCGCGAGGGTTGGCGCCGGCTTATATTCGTCTCGGAGGGCCGCAAAGTAATTCCTACATTTTCGAAAGAGCCTGTTCGAACGGACACGACGTAAATTCGAGCAATGTTTTTTGCGGTAAGAGGAGAACTCAGAGGTGATAAAACAACGCGATTTTTAACAACATTTGGCGAATAGATATGGCAATATTTTTTAAATTCCTTTGTAGCCGCGCGCAGCAGACGGGGCTTGGCCACGTCTGCAAACGCACCGAAGGGGTAGCAACGTCAATAGATGTGAACGATGGCGCGATGACGTAATGCTAATGTCATTAACTCATTTTGTTGCGGTGGCCGGCATTATATGAGCATCCATTAGCCTTGATGGCAGGAGCGCTCAGCAAGTGTCATAATGCAACGTCGACAAGCTCTGAAATAATAAGTGCCGTCGCCGCGTTGCAAAAGCGAAAATTCGATAATGTTTTAATTACCGCGTAGGTAGTTTTTTTTTTTTTTCGCTGACACAATGGACGCTCGCTCGAATTAAAAAACCGCCACACGTGTATGCACGAGAGTTTTGCACAATCTCGTTATTTACTTTTCTCGCTCGCCTTCGAATTGTTTCGACGAGAATCAAGAAGAAATTTTAGAAACAAAATAATACGATCGAACTTTCGTCAATTAAGATGTTAAAAAAAATATATATATATATTCGAAGATTTTTACGTTTTCAATTACGTTTCGAAAAATAGAAAAGAAGAATGCGATTTGAGTTCGTACACGCTCGCTCATTGCAGAAATGCACTGGATGCTGTTACACGAGTGGACCAATAACGCCGGATTGGACGTGATCGCGTGCATCGCGCCTCGATCGCTCGAGAGCGAATCGCAATCAGATTCCGAAGTTCCAGCGAACATGGCGAAATTTATTTCCTTCAGCGACGACATGGATTACAATATTAGTTTGCAACTGGGCTACGGTAAGATCAGATGCACTTCGTACATTTGTTTTTTAAACCGAGTTGCATCTAAAAATGCATTCGAGAGAATATTATGTGAATTTTTGAACTACTTCTCAGACGCGTAGTTTTGAAACGGAGAAATATATTTTTCTCCACAGAATGTCAAACGAGATGCGACTTATCCGGCGAAGATTTGGGACGATACGTTGCGAGTTTGCGTGAAATACTGAAGAATTTCCCGCGATATTCCAACAGCTTGATCACGGGTCCGGATATAGTGTCGTGCGAAACGACGCGACAGCAGAAATATATCGAAGATTATTTGACGGCGGTGAACGATTCGCTTTCGGCGATCACATGGCATCCGTAAATCTTTCATTTACATATATATATATATATACAGAACACATATTATACGAACACACACACGCACACACATTTAATAAAGAAATAAAAATATAATAAAATATGTAACAAAAACTGATGCGCAATTTGGCGATAAATTTCAGTGACTTCGCGGGCGCATCTTTGTCCAACGGTAACATCGTTGTAGATTACGACAATATAACCGCCGAGAAGAACGAGCTGTACAAAATTATCAGTCGTAATGCGGACAAAACACCGCTGTGGATTGGTAAGAATTAACGTTAGAAAAATAATGTAAAATAATAAAAATACAATAATATAAAAATAACAGCAAGAGTTCACGTAACTCTACTGCGTTTGTATATCGCACACTTTGATTGCACGTCTCTTCAATTTTTTTTTACATATTTTTGCATTAGCGGAATCGAAACTAGAAGAATATAATCATCAGTATCTCGGTGCGCTCGTCTGGACCAGGAGACTCGGAAATGTCGCAAAGCTCGGCGCGCAAGTTGTAATGAGACGACCATCGAATTTGCATAAAACAACCCCCGTAAGTCGATCGATAGTCGTTTAGATGTGAACAAGTTGCCGAACCTTCTTTGTGTTGCGCAACTTCAGATTAAAAAAAAAAAAAAAAACCTACGATAAATAAACCTGTATCTAAAATGCATTGTTGCTATCGTGTCAGGACTACTGGGTGTCTTTGTTACACAAAAAATTGGTGGGACGTGAGGTTTTGGAGACGAGATCTCAATCGGCCGACAGCCACGTGTATCTTTACGCTCATTGCACGAGACCTTCAGCGTCGTACGATCGAGGAGCCGTGACGATTTTCGGCGTGAATTTCACTCCGAAAAAAGCGATCGTGAACCTCAAGGGCGTCAAAATCAAAACTCTACACGCGTACATACTGACGTCGGATTCCGAGACCGACAAAATGTCGTCGGAGTACGTAGATATTAATCGCGCAGATCTGAATTTTCGCAACGACGCAACGATGAACAAAACTCTGGTTTTTGTTTTCAGATACGTTTTACTGAACAACAAGCCGCTCGATTTAATAGACGACGAGGAGTTGCCCGATTTAAATCCGGAGATTACTGCCAATCCCGACGGTCTCGAACTTCCTCCCGCCAGCGTGGGTTTCTGGGTCATACCCGACGCGAAGGTAACGCGAAATCTCGCCTAAGTACTTCCGTTTTAAATGAACTTGGCAACTTGGCGCTAATGATCAAAACGATATCAATTTTAAAGGCGAAAGCGTGTGCCGATCCTGAAGAGAAAACTGTCGGCGCGATCAGAGGAACGTCGAAGGGACGGGAAAATCGTATCAGACGAGAGAATGAGGGAAGAAAAGAAGATCTAAACCGTTTCAACGTACACAATCGAAAGACGCAGGTGAGGCAGGAAAGAAGAAAGCGAAAACCCATGGACAACGAGAAGTTCAAGAACGCGTGGGGTGGCAAATTTCTCGAGAGAATAAGCAAGATGTTACGGACGAGACTGGAACAGGCGGGCGGCTCTCCGAAGTTTCAGAGATCAATTCGGATTGATCTGAACGGGGAGCAAGGAAGTTCCGAAGAAGATTCGGACGACGGATTCTCCGAGAAAGGGACAGTCGACGACAAACCTAAGGATATTCGCGACGCGACGTTGCGAATATACAAACACAGAGAAGCGGAGGGTTTCGGGAAGAGCGGAAGAAGAAGAAGAAGAGATTTGGGTAGAAAACTGATGGAGATGAGCGCGAGGAAGGACAACAGGAAGAACTCGAGAGCCGTAGACGCGAGAGATTACCTGAACGAGAGGAAGGCGAGGAGGAGAGACGATTTCAGAAAAGAAGGACTCGTGACCCCGTTCAACCCCCGGATAGTAATGAGCAAAACTGACAGCGGCGAAAATAATTTCTACGGCTTCTTCCGGCAGGCTCCCGTCGAGGGATTCCCCGTGAGCGACGTTTACGGCACGGTGGGCGATTCGTCGAAACGAACTGACGCGGATTACGATTACGTCCAGGACGATGACAACGACGGTGACAACGCTAGTTCGAAGGACACGCGGGAGTTCAAGGGAGAAACATCGACGGAAAACATTTGGATCGAGAACGAGTACAGCGATTACGTGCCGAACGAGTTCTTCGAAAACGTCAAGTTGTCGAGCACGGGAGTCCGAGGAAATCCGATGATCGACTACGACGACCTGTGGGAGGCGGAATCTTTCTCCGCGAAAGCGACGGAATTCGCGGACTCGAAAGCGCAGAATCGTTCTGTTCAGGATCAGGAGATTTCTCACGACGCGAGAGCGAAGAGAAGTTCGGAGCTTCAGGAGATTCTCGCCGAAGAGATGTTCAAGCAGGACGAGGGAAACGCGAGGGATTGCCAGTGCAGGATCGTCCGAAACTTCGATTCGCCAGAGAATCAAAGGACGACGGACGTCACGCGGGGTAGGCGAAATGTTGTTGGAGATCTCGAGACGAAGATAGAACGCGGAGAAGACACGACCACGGAAACTTCAATCAAAGATACAACTTGGGTGATTGAAACAACAGGTGTGACGTCAGCGGTGGATAACGTCGAAGAAAGCAGCGATCACGCATCAGTTGCAACGCTCGTAAGTTCAACTCCTTCCGAATTTTCTGTAACTACCGATAACATTGTTACAAAACAAACGTTTTTTCCCACCCGATCGCCAGAGTTCCGATCAGACAGCGGGGAGACAACGGCGCTCGATAACGCGCAGACTGTATCTACGATTTCTGCGGATCTTGCAGAGAATCGAGGACGATATTCGAGCCCTGTTCTCATTAGATTCGGAACCGCAAATCACGAAAAGACGGAAAACGTTATCGTCGAGAAGAAAACGGCCGAGAATATAACCTTTTCCGCGTTCGCTGCCGAGCAGAGAAACGAGAGCAGGTACGACAAGAACTCGGAAGTTGTCGAATATCTTGGAGAATCAGCGAAAACAATCGACGCGAAGCAGACAGAAACGAACATGTCGAAAGAGGATGATGAAAAATTGGCGATCACCCGATCGCCGGGGATCCAATCGAACGAGACGAAGACGTGCGACACTTCGCAAAGTGTTTCTGAAACAATTGACGCGCAACGGATAACAACGGAAACGAATATGTTGAAAGAAGATGACGAAAAACTAGCAATCACCCGATCGTCCGAGATCCAATCGAACTACGAGACAACGACGGCGCGCGATATCTCGCGGGTTACAACGGAAACAAGCGTGTTGAAAGAAGAAGTCGCTGATGAATCAATTGACAATACGAAGAAATTGGGCGAGTTCGCGATGGGGAAAACGTTGCGACAGAAGGCGACCGATCGAAATAGCGAATCTAAGGTCGTGGTGCGGAAAAAAGATGCCGACACGAGCAAATTAAAGGCCACGCCGCCAACGGAGTTGCACAGAGTGCCGTTGAAAAAACTCACTAAATACGAAGAATATTTAATAAGACGCGCCGAGCAAATTGACAGGAAGCTGAGAAAGAGATTAGCAAAAAAGTCCGCGAATTGAAAACAAGAGATTTGCTGACGGCTAGAAAAAAAACGCAGAAAATATTACTTTATATTATATTACTTCTAAGTGACGTAAATTATTTATAAAAATTGTAATTACTCGACAGTAACGTATATAAACAATTATACGCGATACTTGTAATTATTTATATAAAATATTTATAAAAATATCAGAAAAACGTGTATATTGTAAAATGCTTTTTACCACACACATTGTATAAAATATTATACGTTATTTTGTTATCAATAAAATATTCAACGAATTTCTCTCTAATTGTTTTTACTCGATAACTATTACAATATGTAAAACGCGCCATAAATTCCTAAACTATGTGATGTCGTTACATTAATGCATCATATAAATTCCTAAACTATAATTGTTGTATTATATATGTATATATCTAGTAAAAGTTGGTCATCACAGAATTGCTTTAAATGCAAACACCAGTTCCGCGCATAACAAATACTGTAAATTCAAGTAAGCCTTCAGGGAAATCAGGTCACTAATTAAATCAAAACTCATACACACACTTACACGGTGAATGCAGTGCTCATTACGACACAAAATCGGAATGAAATTTCATAATAATGCGATGACGAGACATGTACACATACATACATATATATATATATATATATGTACGATTGTTCGATCGACGAATAATTCAGTGCACTTTTGATCACAACCGAGATTAATTCGTCTGTGAAAAGCGAAGCGCATTTCGTTGTAAAATATTTATTGCAAATCGCGGCTTGTATAATTCATTTCGTTTGGCATTAGTTCGTGTAATGTGTGACGTGCGCGAAAATAAGTAAAAATCAATTTCGCGTCTAAAAGAGCACAACCGGCGTGCAATCAAAAACTGAGTAGTGCAACCGTAAATGTGACCGACATGTACGAGAAAATTTCCGTGATCGCGTTGGTGCTACTTGCGGTCGCACCTTCCGACGAAATTTCTTCCGACAAAGGGATGAAAAATGCAAACCTCGTGCAAAACTCAAGGTATTTGAAAACTAATTAACCAATTAATTGAAATTAACTGAATTTTTAAGAATTACTTTTTTTACACCGCGTATCTTTTTTTTTGTCATATTTTTGAAATGTCAACGAAAAAGTATGTTAATCGCAATTGCATAATTGTTCACGTGTCAGCACAAACGTTATTAATGTCACTTATACTTCGCACGCGCGTCGCAAATTGCTAAATTGCGGAAAACGTTGCGAGATCGTAGATACTTGCTACAAGTAAATTCGTTGCTTACAGATTGTCGACGATTTTTCCGTACGCGTTATCACGCAACGATCATCGATTTGCGAACGGCGACGGTCAAAAGAATCCGCCTCTTTTGTCCGTCCCGTTATCAGAGAAGACTCGTACGAAGCGTTGCGGCGACACAGCTCGAAAACCCGTCGGAGCTGCGTTATCCTCGACGAAGCGAGATCTCGCCAGAGCGAAAACCAGAAACGTCACTGTGAGAATCCACACGCAGTAAACAATATTCGAACCAGTTTGATTTAAACTTTTGCAAAGAGAAATTGAATTTATTTTCAAAAAAAAAAACCGAACGACAATACGTAAATAAAACAAAGTTATCTTGAACTTTTATCAAGTCCGCAATTTGCTTGCAGGAAATTGTCGCAAAAAGGAGAGAAGCTGCGAAAACACGTCAGGACCGAACGCTTTTGCGAGCTCTCAAGAGCAATTTAAACGCAAAAGACGGGATTGTGAAAGCGCGACTTCACGAAACAGCGGAGAAGTGCAACACGGACAAGTGTATTTGTTACTGCAGCGAGGAGGATAATTTTCCCGACTCGTCCAAGAAGTTGGGTCATCGTAAAAAGAACAAACCCGATAGGTCGAATTATCACAAAGCGGAAAAGCACGAGAGACCGAATATCTTGCAGCAACAAAAGCGACCGAAGTTGCAACACGAACAGAGAACGCGTGACTCGATTCTTTCCAGTCTAATGAACCATTTTCCATCCTATCAAGAGGAAACGATACCCAATATCCATCATCATGTATCGGTCCCGTACAAAGCCCAGGCTACGCCTGAGATAATAGGTAATCTGAGATCCAACGGTGTTCCGTACCACGTCCCCTCATACGACGGACAAAATATTTTGCTGGCTAACAGTCACGGTCATTATCCGCACGTTCATCACAATCTCTATCCTTGGCCAATAATTCCCGAGAGAAGTCGAATTGGAAATCACGTTGTGTCGGTTACTTCGCATTCGCCTTTGAACGTCGACGGAGGACAAACAGACGACGACTATCTCGGATCCTACGATCAAGATGACTATTTCGAGTCGTACGATCAGTTTGAAGACTATCCAGAATCTCACGACCCAGTTGTGGCGTCTGGAAAAGATGAAGATCCTGCCGAACTGACTACGGTGGCTCCGAATGACGGCGAAGACGCGTCAGTTGAATCGAAAACAAACTATCCGACCGAGGAAAACGGCGCTGTAGATTTTTCTAGTGCGACTGAAACCTCAGAAGAATCTGTGGATCGTGTCAAAGAAGTTTACGAGTCGACTGATAATTTACTCGACAGCGCGGGTGAGGCGCGTGTTTCGATGAAGAAATTAACGGACCGAACAACCGATCGCACGACGGAGACTGCGAGGATTCGTTTGCTAGGAAAGAGTAAGAGCAACGCTAATAAACTGTTGCTGATTCCCAATGATGAGAATACAGACGTGGTGTCCAGAGTTGAAGAAGAAATTACTGAGAAAGTTGTTGACGAAGAACAAACGACTGAACAACAGAGAAAAGTCGTAGCTGCTAGTTACGACACTATCAAAGACGATTCGTCGACAAACAGATTGCCGCTTTGCGACAGCACCTTGCTTTTGAACTCCATCAGAAAAGCGATCGACGACTTCGCGCTGGATCGAACGAAAGATCCCGACGGAACGCAGGACGCGAGTTTGTTGCCGGAAATTCTGCGGGTTTCGAATTTGAAGAACATTCTGTCCAAGCCGGAGATAGAGAACGAGATCGTGGAGCGAGTGAAGGACATTTTATCCGCGAGCACGTCCGTTTCCAGAAGAGATTTCGCGAACGATTGGTCGCACAGCGTGATAAGAAACACTTTGAGAAGCGTGGTGGACACTTTTCACGGTATTCATCAGAAGTTCACACCGATCGGAAAACACGGAACGACCGACGAGATAGTCTCGTCTCCTATTTCCGACAGCGAGGTGTCGGCGGTAAATCCGGGAAATCTGATGCTGAATATTAGCGAGCAAGTGACGAACAAGATAAAAGATCCGACGATTCGCGACAGATTGAACAGCGTTTTCCAGAAGATGAGAGACGCAGCGAATAAGGAAACGTCGAGGGAAAGCGCCGAATCTGATAAAGAAGAGACTTTGTTGCGAAAAACCGATGACAATTGGCGGATGATGAAGAATAAAAATGCAAACGAAATGTCAGATGAAAAGTTCGATGCGAAAGAACATAAAAATGTGAAGAGCAAAAATTATCAGAAGGCCAAAATATTGAAAAACGACGCGGACACACTATCCAGCTACGAATATTCGAAATCGTTGAAAAATCTGTCGGAGTCGGTGAATTTGTCGGAAGAGAATCTACGTATCGAAGAACAAATACCGAACAGAGTTGAGACGAAGGAAAACATCGGAGATCGCGTTTCAGATGAGATGAGGGAGACAAACGCGCAAGATGACAAAGACAAGACGCTAAAATCCTCGATAGTTTATCAGCAAGCTAATTCGCAAAGTAATCACGAAGTGTTAACGATCTCTGCGGAACAACGTCTGACGGAAAACGGAGATGACGACGAGAATGTCGCGGCAACACCCGAAAACTTGACGCGAGATGCCTCGCTCGATCGCAAACAGGACGAAATAATCTCGGAAGATGCGACGAACGTTGAAGACAAAACGGAATCAAGCGCATCGACCACTCTGTTCGACAATTTGGTTGGAAATCGCGAAGATCAAGATTCTTCGAGCGCCGTCACTTCTTCCGCCGATCACATCGAGCCGTTGATAATATTGGAGAGAATAAAAAACAAAGAGCCGCCGATAAAATATTATTCGCGCGACAGTTCGGAAGACGCGACGACCTACAATCCGGTCACGAACGACGCGTATTCCGTGCAACTGTTTCCCTCGTCGCCCGCTTCCGACGATATCGCGGAACTTCAGAAATCCCAACTCTACTACATCAACGACGGCGTCAAGTTCCCGCTGGAAATACGACAACTGAACGACGGTTCTTACGTGTTGCGGTTCCCGGAAGACATATGCGAGCACTTTTTACAGAAAGAATGTCCGTGCTGCGTGCCGCGAACCGGTCGCGTGATTCGATCCAAGATCGATCAGAAGGAGACGATTTCAACGACGACGGGGAAAGAAGACGATTATCAGGAAAACGCGCGTGCAAATGGCAATCGAGTTCGTAAAACGATGATGAGAAAGACGAGGAACACCTTGAGGGCACAGAACGATTACGAAATTCCTATATCAGTCACTGATTTCGCAGAGAGATACAATTTGTTGCTTGATCTCGACAACAAAGAAACGCTTAGCCAATCGCGCGACGAAACTCAAAGCTATGACGGACAGCTACTGAAGAATTCGGTCAAAGAATCTGAATACGATCAATCGGAAAAAAAGACGTTTGATAATAATCGCAAGCTGAATAATAATCTTCAAAAGAACGAAGATAAGAAAATTGCAACGGGCAGTTCTGAGGAAAGAAATCTCTTTCCAAAAAGAACTATTCTCTCCGAAAAAGAAACAACAATGAATAAATTTTCAAACATTGAAGAAGGTAACAATATTGTTAAAAGTTGTAAATTGTTGATTAATGAAAAAAAAATTACAAGTGTAAAACTTAATGAAAAAAATTACACATGTACATACAATTTGATACATACCTTTGTTTTCAGGAAATACCAAAGTTTTTCGCAGAAAGAAGAAAAGAGAAGATGAAAAAACTAATGAAAGACCATTTAGATATCAACGAAATGCGAGCGGAGTGGAAAACAAAAGTGCGGAACTAGTAAAATCCGTGCTTTATTGGTTCAAAGGTCTTATCCTAGACGAGTAAATTGTGGGAAAGATACTTCAAGAGAAATCTTACTTTTTTAACAGTTTTTTCTCAAGTTTTACAAATATTTTTTTAGAAACTTTTTTCTTATAATTGAATTTTTTTGTTTATTCACAGAGAAAATTTGCACTGCGAGGACGATTTCTGTAAAGGAAAGTGATAGGGGAGATAATGTAGAAAATGAAAAATGTAAAAAGTAATAAAAAAAAAACAATAAAACCATTACTTGACATCCATTTTATTTTCACTTTCTTCTTGCGAATTACTTTCCTCGCTTTCGTCCTCTTCTGAATCTTCCGAATCGTCCGAGGATTCGAACCACGTTTGCGACAAATCATCCGCCATCAGGATGTTCCACTTGTCAAGTTTCCGGCAATCTGCAACATAAACTTGCTATGTTAAAAAAAAATATTCAAACGGTTCGGTGTGATCTCGGTTTCTATATCTCACATGTTGTCTCATGTACCTAAACTGTAAAAATCGCGAAGAGTGTATTCCCGTTCGCCTTCCTCTACCATACCGCCGTACAGGTACAGAACGTTGTGTTTCACCGCCATTCCGGCGTTAATACGCGGCAACGGACGGAACTTTTTCTCTTCGGTGATCGCCATAGAAGATATTTCCGGGAGAGAAGATCCAATGCGCGACGACGCTGGACCAATCGTGACCTAATAAATTTGTACAAAAGTAAAGACAATACAAATATGCTCTATCCGGCAAATCTACAAGACAACAAATTCAAATTTAAAAAAGGGCGTACTGTAAATATTCCATCGTCTTCTACAACAACTGACTGTGCGGAAGGAGACTCTTCCGATTCCTCTTTTTCGTCAGAACCTTCGTTTTCTTCCTCCCCCTCTTCTTCCTCTTCCTCATCATCGCTTGTTCTCGTCTCGTCCTTCTGTTTCTTCCTCCTCCTTCTTCTTTTTGTTTCTTCAGTGCCGTCAGTGGTTTCTTTTTTCTCAGACAAAGTTACAGCACGCCAGTGCAACTTTTCCAGATCTAACGCGAACAAATCATTGTAGAACGTTCCACGTAGAGTTTCTTCGTCATCGTCGTCATCGTAAACGCCGCCGAATACAAATGCTTGATTGGCGCCGTGTTGAGTTAGAGTGGCGGAAGCGCCGCATCTCGGACTCACGCGGACTCCACTTTGCTTCACGGAAGTCCATTTGTATTTGATCGCGTCGTTTTTGTTCACTTGTGTCAGAAGAAACATATCATCATGAACGCAGCCTTTCTCCACGTCCTTTTTTAACTTTATCTTGCTGTATCCGCCGTATACGACGAGTTTATTGTCGATAGTTGGTAATAATATGCAGCCAGATCGAGGAGCAGGCGGTATACCTACAAAACAATTTGTTGATCCAAGGTATAACTATTATTGTTCAAAAAAAATAATGTTTTTATTTGTCTAACACTTCTTCTAAAATACTGAAGTATAAATTTCTAAGTTTACTTGATCTGATTTAATTAAAACTTATAACTTAAATACTTCAAGGTAACTTAGATTTAATTAGAATATAAAAGCATTCTTGTAAAGAAAACAACATCAAATGGAAGCGTACCAGCAGGTTCGATTTTCTGCCACGTATAAGTTTCCAGATCAAAAATGTGCACATCGTTAAAATACTTATAGTCGTGCCGTTGATCATCGTGAAAACCACCGAAAACTATGAGCTGCTTCTTTGTGTGCACCATTCTATGTCCACTTCTGGCTGATGGACCGTTTGGAGCCCTAAAATTATTGGTCTTTATATTACAATTATAAAAGTTTCTTTTAATGAAAGTTTTGTTTTATTCTTTCATATGTACATTATCTTTTCCCATTTTTTGTTGGAGAATCGAAACACCCACAAATCACGATAGTGGTAGAACTGGGATTCACTCGGACTAGTGAATTCACCACCAAATACCCATAATTCGCCATTATTTGCTGCAGTGGCTACTGTCTGGTGACTGCAACGTGGCGGTGGTGCACATGGTGCTTTTATCAGTGTCCATTCTTGTTTATTTATATTGTAGAAAAACATATCACCATATACAAGAGTCTAAAAAAAAAAAAATTGAAACCTGAGTAAATTATGTTCTTAGTTTATTAAGCAGACAAGTGATGTTTTACTTTATTAAATTGTCATTTTTTTCTTATTGTTAATTTGCTCAATTAAACAGAACTAATTTTTTCTTATACCTGACGACCATCATGAAATTGTCCACCAAGCATAATAAGTTCATCCTTAAAAGGATGTGCTGTCAGAGTGAAGTAAACTCGTCTGGATGGTGGTTCTACCACTATTTCCTTAACACATTGTCTACGAGCTTCTTCCTTTTCAATTTCAGCCACAACTTTCTCTATGTCATCCTACAATATAAAAGGACTTGTAAAAAAATGTTATTAAAACACGTTGAATAAAAATAGAATAATTATCACAAGACAGTCATTTTAATAATACATTTGTACTTAACAAATAATATTTATAATAAACAAATAATATTTGGTCTAACCTCACCAAGAGCTGCTAACTTTTTCTTCTGCTTGGCATCGAGTTTCTTCTCAGTTTTCAGCGTAGTTTTCTCTGCGCCGCTTATCTTGTTTTTACTCTTCTTATCTTTCTTTCCCATTATATTTTTTTATATCACACAAAACTTAAAATTCTTTTGAACACAAATAAACCTTCAACAACATTCAAACCCGACGACGATTTCATTGGACAGAAGGCACTAGCCAAAGCCAAGCGCGTAGTACCCAAAAAATGCGCACTCAGTGCGCACTCGGCGCGCACTAGCGATTAGATCACCCCGAAGTCGTTATACCCTTGTCTGTGTGTAAATACGAATATATATAAACGTGGTTAGTATAATAAAAAAGAAGGTGTTTTAAATACGAGATTTACATATTTCTGGCACACGTGGATCCCAGATATGAATCCCTCAGAGCCAAGCAGCACCGAGACACTCAGGTACTACAATGAGTTCACATTGGACGATACTGAACCAAGGTTATGCCGGTTTATTCTTGACAGATCAAAGTTTTACGTACTTCACAACACTATGACTTACACATATTATATCAATCTTATAAAAAGTTCATAGTAAACACGATACGCCTAATAACCTCTTAATTATTGTGTTATTCTTTTACAGTTCTAAGATGAAAGATGTGATTGATGTTCTTGCAATGCAACGTGAGAAAAGAAATACGTTACAAAAAAGCATCACAATTGATTACACCAAGTCTAGCGACAGTTTCACAGTTTCACGATTTATCTTTGAGTGTGGTATGTCAGCAGTAATGTTTTACAGAGATTCTAGAGAAATTGTTGCCACTACTACTACTAAAGTCTAGACTATGGTTTTGTTTACAGGTTTAAAATTAGAAGCTCATCCTTTGACAATAGCAACTGCGGCAACTTTGTATCACAGATTCATGAGAGAAGCAACAGCACAGGGATATGATCATTATGTGAGAATTATATACATACAACAGCTTGTGTATACAAACACATACACACACATATCTTCAATAAATAACTACATTCTAACTCTTTTAGTTGATAGCTGCCACTTGTCTTTATCTGGCTGGTAAAGTAAAGGATGACACATTAAAGACAAGAGATGTAATGAATGTATCATATAATACACTTCACAGAGGATCTCAACCACTTGATCTTGGAGATCAGTATTGGAGTATGAGAGATGCAATTGTTCAGGCAGAACTTTTAGTTTTGAGAATGCTCAAGTTTCAAGTGATATCTGTGCTTCCACACAAAGTGAGATATTGTGGATTGCTAATTGCTTACTAATATTTATACACCCTATGAGAACATCTAGTTATAGTATACTTGTTACAGTATTTACTTCATTATCTACGGTCTTTGCAAACTTGGTTTGGTGAAGAAGAATGGTCTAAATATCCAGTAGCTAAAACTAGCATGGCATTGCTGCAAGATTTTCATCATTCTTCAGCTATTCTCGATTACCCGCCAAATCTAATAGCAATAGCTTGCATAAATTTGTCTTTGCAAATTTATGGAGTGGTTGTTCCTTTAATGGACGAATGCGATCAGCAGCCATGGTTTAACGTAAATCAACAATTTATATTTTTACACAAATTTGTACTTATAGATAATTGTTTCACTCATGATTTTATTATTGCAGGTTTTCAGTAAAGATTTAACAAGAGATAAGCTGTGGGAAATTATGGAGAAGGTTATGGCGGCGTATGATGAGGAGCCCGAAACAAGAGACAATTAAAAAATATGTGCTTATTGCAATAATATCTGTATCTAAAATTGATCTATCTATTGCAATAAATGTTTTCTATTGAATATTGAAATATATAAAAATGCTTTATACTAAACCGTTCATTAATACCTGCAGTTCAGTGTAAAAAAAAACCATGAAATTAATAGAAAATGTCAAGGGAGTATATAATCTTTGAGTTACTAAACAATTTGCCTTTTTTGTTAAACACTGATCATTTAAAGATATATAAAATAAAATTTTTGGAATTTTCAGTACTGATTCTTCATTGTTTCACAATAAAAATATCAAATTTCAAATATCATCATAAAACAAATACTGTCATAAAAAAGGTAAATTTTAAAATGTTATGAAAAATTTATTGATCAGTGTTTTAAACTATGGACATAAAATATCAGACATATGATTTCAATGCAATTCTCTTGAAATTTCTTACATATTTTTAAACATTTATCCACCTACAATGTATTTTATATTATATCTTTTTATGGCTTAGTAGGTAAGTAATTATTTCAATATTCAATAAAATAAATTCTGTTTTGCTACTTCAATATACTATTTGATTTTATATAGGCGCACATTATATTAATAAAATTAAAAAACAAAATTCACAATAGCACACAGAAATACATGAGCAAATATCAATATCAAATATCAATAAAACTTCATATATACTACCATAATCATAAAGATAGCAAATAAAGAAAATCATGCCACGATATATGATTGTCTTTATTTGCGGAAATCAGTGCGATTGATTTATACGGATACTACGCATGCAAAAATATAAAAATTATTTCTTTTAGCTACATAAATATAAAAAGCATATGTCTATTACTTACATATATGAATATTTCTTTATATTTCTTTATATTTAATTTTAATAAAATTAACAGAACTTTCTTGTAAAATTAGTAAAAATATACGTTTAAGTACTTGTTAATAAAAAATTATGCATTAAATACAAATTTATAATACAGAAAAAACAGTTGTAGCTAAAAGAAACAAATAAAATTGATTTTGTGTTAAACTCATTTTTGTGCGGTCCCTTCGTCGTCCATCGATGTATCTTCCTCCGCTATGTAATCCTCAGTCCCCTCAGTCCTCTCAGTCATCCATACTCCTCAAGTATCGGTAGTGGCACAGCAGCTTTGCGACGTCCCACGTAGTCTCACGTAGTCCCACGTCGCACTTTTTTCACTCGCGACGCGGAAGACGCGAAATACACACT